AACGTTATCGTTTCAGTTCCAGTATGGTAAATTATTCAAGTACGAGAAACTCCATATTAGATTTGTTTATTTGATTTATCACACACATTGGTACAGTATTATTTATTTGCTTATCAAGTAAATAATACTGTATCACTATGTTATAAATCGGATAAGCAGTTCTAATATGAAACTACATTCTGCCACAATGCCCAAGTTTTACACTTACTTTAAGTACAAGAAACTTGTCATGCTTATTTATATGTAGCTGAGTAACATGGTTTTTATAAATTGCATTGACGGTGTCCCTCGACCATCTGATTCTCAGTGACAGCTGTCTACAAAAGGGATGAGTTAAATATTTTTTCAAGATTGAGGGATGGTGATTAAGGTATAAGTAGATTGAAAAAATGTCCAAGTATATCATCACTGTGTGATTAGTATCGCATCCCCTGTCTTCTTCATTTTCGTTTGGATTCAATATCGAAGGGGACAACAAATGGATAGCAAGGTAGATGGCATCTTACCATAATGCACTGTATTTAAATTGGTTTCTTCCTCCAAATACTCTGTCTGATATGATCAAGTGTGGTGTGATCCCAGTTAACTTCTCAAGCTGCATTCATAGCCCCTGATAGCAAAGTTCTACCCATTGACTTCGCTTGGTGAGAGGTGTTTTCACACAATAGAGAAGGTGGAAATGAACGTTTCCTGCTATAACCGCGTTGAAGAATATGGAGAACACACCTATGTCGTTGGAAAACGCTGATTTCATTCTAGTGGTGTGCATCGTCCCCATCATACTGGACGAAAACATGGTGTATGAACCTATCTCCGTCACCGATAACCTTGGGAATGCACCAACGCACGTTCTTCCACTGCTTTGTGGGCCAGAGTTGATATCAAAGGCTCATAGAGTGGTCCATTAAGACAACTATCTGCTTTGATCTGGGAGTCTGAACAGTATCATAGCCTAAATACAGTTTATGTACCTAAGTTATCAACCGTCTAATTTTCCTGCACAAATCAAAACTCACAGAGCAACAGACTGTTTGATTAATCATTCCATTTTTCCTTATATTCTCACACTACTCACTTATGAACCATAGTCTTTTCATTATTATTTTCATCTTCATCTTTACGTGCATCTTCGTTGAATTCAATTGATTTTCACTGACGCAAATTCTGGGATATCTGTATCATTTTGAAGTGTTAAACAGATGATTCCAACAATCTATCCTTCAGTAAAGTATTTGCTACAACTGTTCTGAAACGTTGCATGTCGTTAAAACTCGTCCTCAATGTTAGGACCGTAGTGCGTGAACGGGTTTCCTAAAGGATCCAAGCACAATAAAACGAGGAAGTAACTTATATGTAGACTGAAAAGGAGCCTGCAAAATGACTGTGAGCAGAAGATCGTAGCAAAGGTTAAGGAAATAGAAACGGCAGTAGAAACTGGTTACAGTAGAAAGTAATTTAAACTGATCACGAAAAATGAGGCAAAAAATCAACGGTTAATGAAACTTTATCGAGAAAACTGACTGGGCGGTTCACTTCCAAGGAAGATGACGAGCGACGAGTGGAACATTGATGAACAATTCAGCAGGTATTCAATTAGTCTTTAGTTGCCCAGTATTCAGTCAGATAGTGAATGAAACACTGAAACAGAACCCCAACCCTTGCAGAAGTTGAGATTAATGTGGGTAACATGAAAAGAAGAAGGGTAGGAGTGATAGGATGACTGGCTTCTGGGGGTACTTAAGGGTGTTGGTCAAACATTATTGGTCAGGTTATCTGAGGCCCTGATTGCTATATGGGAGTCAGATATCATTCCTTATGACTAGTCTCAATCACTGATTGATCCAGTCTTCAAAAAGGTGAGAAATCCTTGAATAACAGCCATGGGGGAATCAGCCTAAATAACTTAGAGTCTTATATTCTAGACTGTATTATTACCAGATATCTAAGTGGCACTCAAGAACAGTGAAGTCAAGAAAACCAGTTAGGTTTCAGACCTGTTCGTAGGTGTATCGACCAGATATTCACTCTTCGCAACACACGCACGCATTCCAATATTCAATACCAACTGGATTTCTATACTTCAAGGCGGTTTTTTTTTCCTTATTCGATCGAGAGGTTCTCGGTCTGAAAAGGATACCAAGCAAATATATTACTCTTTTGAAAGATATGTACCCAAACATCCATGGGCGTATTCTAGCCTATAGTGACGTATCAAGTGAGTTATGTGCGTCCAGTGGTGTATATCAAGAGTGACCACAATTTCCATCCTTAATCAACTTCATCACATGCTTAGTTATGAAGGTCTTCCTTTTATTGTTTGATTTAAAGAAAATAGACTTCGCCACAGGACAATCCATTGGTAGATCTAGAATACGTAGGCCTTGTTGGGCGAAGATTTTGATGAGGTGCAACCTTGTTGACGCCGTGAGTGGAAATTTGAGAATATCTTGGTTTCTTTTCTCACCACTCATGTGAAGACTGTTAGCGCGACTGATTTTCAGTGGTGTCTTGTCTGACAATACGGAGCGAAATGGTTGAGCGTGTTGACCATTTCACTTACCTAGGAAGTCGGGTCAGCTCTGTTTGACCAGTGATCAACGAAATCTCTGAATGTTTGCAAACGTTATTCATCAACTTGCGCCATTTATTTCACGTCCATAATATTCAGTTGCCTGTTAGGGTTGAGCGTTGCATTTCTCTCTGTTTTACTGTTTGGCTATGAGGATATGAGAAGGCTGCATGTGCTCAACCTTAGCATTGTCTGTCTCATAAAGTCACGAAGTCAGTCAATTAGAAGTCAGCCATTGAGTTTCAAATGGAAGAAGTAAGTCATTTGATGAAGTCGTGAAGTTTTATCGAATCAGTTGACTGAAACACTTGTCACATATACTTTGTCGCCATTTGTCTCTTAGTGCAGTCTCAGCTGAATTGGATTCGGGCTGGAAAAGAGTTACAGGTTGACAAACTACGACATGGCACCATCGTATAAAGTCTCTGACTGTTGGTCCAAACCATGTAGGTAATTGCAGAATTCCCGGTTGAAGTTCTCGTGAAAACAGAAGCCATTGGTTGGAGACTGTATGTCATATGGCTCAGGATTGGTCTCAGTGGCGCGGATACAGGCACACCTTACCTTCGTTTGAATCTTGATGCCAAATTTCGTTATTCTTTTATTATTCCTTGTTTAATTTTCAGGACTTTGACTACTGTTTTCCTCATTTATTTATCTTTCATCTTGCTGTCTTCCACCTTGGTGTGACATTAAGTCTGGCAATTTAAACCACTAAGCATTAATGTCAAGCTTCCTGTTCATGTTGAATGACGGGACAACAGATAGGTTTTTCTGGAATTCTCTGCTTTCGATGTATGTTTTATATCAGAGGCACACAAGATTTCAGTGGACCACTTTGAATAAATTCTCTATCTGTCAACACAAAAAGCGTATTCAATATGCATCTAGTTTGGGACCTTTAGTCATCAGCAGCTCGTATTAATAGTATGGTAATGTGTTTTGGAGCGGGAGTTTCTCCAGTAGACTAAATCTCTCATAAAAAAACACGTTACCAAAAAAGGGCTTATATCAACGTACGCAAAGGTGCATAGGAGAAAGAATTTGAAAGTGAAGGTTAGTGAAAATATCTAGGTCTTAGGAGACGTCAAAGAGTAAATGAATTTTGCCATTGTGACCGACTATCAACGAAGTCACCAAGAGTCTTCATACCCGGCTTAGGACTGGCTAGTAACTAGTGAACTAGTTAACCAGACGAGGTTATCTTAATATGATTATGAGCAATAAATTCTGCCTGATACGTTATCTAGTAAATAATACTACATCACTTTGTGCAATATAAAGCAAACTAACCTATTATACAATTGCATTCTACCACAATGCCCAAATTCTATACTTACATCATGTATATGGTCATTATTAATTTTCTTCCTAAACCACTTTGATAGAACGGACATATTTCTGTATTCATTTTGAGTTACATGATTTTATTTCCATTGTAAATGTCAAAAATCAAATAGTTATCTACTTTCAAAATTTTTTGAGTGATTTCTGCGATGACATGAACTACAGTAATCAGTGCGAATCAACAAGGAGTCGTGGTTGTATGTGTGCATCTCATTTTGATTGGGTGTATGGTAAAAGATTTGGTAACTGAGAGAAGAGAGTATATGAAACGTTAAAAGTTTGTGACGGCTTATGTTTCCAGAACTAGTTTGTATATACTAATAATATCAAACCTGCACTATTAGGACTACATATGTGTTTTAAATTGGAAAGGACTCCGTATGAATCAAATAAGCTAGTATGAAGAAGTGGAGACTTGAGTTACCTAGCGCCTTTGTAGATATTCGATTAAGACTGATATAGAAGGAGAGCAGAATATTTGAGCATAGGTAATGACAAGTGACACTAGTAAATGCAGCCACAAGCTGTAAATCTAACGTGTGTAGAAAATTTAAGAAAAACTTCCCTCTTGATCCTTGTGTCAGAAAAAGAATTATCATTTTAAGATTTTAGGTGGTTTAATCAAAAATCACTAGGAATGAACTGCATTTCTTATACTGTTATAAGATTTGAAAATCCTATCTTATATATTGTCTTCAGAACTGCATCAACCCTGAATAGCGATGTGTTGAGTTCTTTAAAGATTAGAACACATTTAAATACTATACCGATCTTACATTTTAAACGTGCATAGCATGAGTTGAATTAGATGACTTCAAACAATACTTATTAGATTTAAGCGTGGTGCGAATACACTCTGGGCGATTCTTCTTATAGAGTATCAGAAAATAGTTTAATCTAATATAATCTTGCACAATGCGTTTTCCACCGTATCTCATCATTTGTGTTGTGACAGATTGAACTATTCAGATAATGGTGGAGAAAAAAAATTACCATTGACCCTCGGTTGTCTCTTCCCTTACTGTTTCTATTATTTTACCAATTATATTATCAGCATACTCCATTTACTTTTTCCGTCCCTTAGGGTCATGCATTAGGTGAGGAGTTGTTCGCAATAGTTGTCGATCGATTTCGATTGCTCGAAGCTGATTATTTCGACCTGGAATATGTTAACGATGAAGGAATGAGAGTAAGTTACCTATGTTGATTATCCTCTTTTCTATTCCGTTGCTGATTATTTTTTGAGGTTGTTTTGATCCACATAATTTCTTATGTCTATTTATGTGTTTGTAATTCTTATACAAGTTGTATAACTAATCCATACTAGATTTCAGAGCAGGCTGAATCAATTCCTAACCGAATGAAGAACGAAAATATAGAATATTACATACACCACCTTGTAATGCTCTTTTTTCCTTACTAATTTAATCTGCTTATTTTGTTTGCATGTTATAATGAGTAATAGTGTTTCCTTTTTAGTAGTTGAAGAAAGTAAACCCACCAACAACTTGTCAGCTCAGTAGATGGAGTGTGTAGGCCAGCCAATGAGTCACTAAAAACATATTTTCCTTACAACTAATTATTAAAACTCAGCTGCCATTTGGTGAGTTCATGTCTCAAGTATAATATATGTCTTAACGCAATCTACGCTTGTGTTAAAAACTAGCACTAGAAGACTTCACTCAAACAAGACAGCTGTAGAACAGCTACTTCGAACACGTTTAATTCCTACATTATCTGATCTCCATATGTAGTAGGTCAACATTCAGCTAGCTTCTGTATGAATTATACACTGGTTACGGTGGTAGCCATATTATTATGTTCAATACATTTCTAAATGCAGGTAGCATACTTTGGAATAACTAGACAAATATAAAAACGAATCAATTCTGTGCAAGATATAACTCAGAGATGAAGTCAAAGTTTCTTTATTATTTTTTATCCTAAGTCATTTCAAAACAGAAACTGACCGTGCCAATCTTTCATAAATCTCATGAAATGCATCATTATTGTTTCTTTTTTTGACATAATGTTTCTATTTTTACCATTGTTCACACACACACAACGGTTTAGAATTTCAAAGAATCTAATTCCAAGCTATAAAAATGTTGAATTGTCAACAGTCAGTTTTAATTTCTTCAAAAACGAAACCGTGTGTGAAGATTGCTGTTCAGATTCATTTTAACTTCATAACTTCTTTGGTTCACTTGCTGTGATGTTTTGAATAATAGTGTTACGTGAAGTTTTGAAGGTTACATGACCAGAAAATGACCAACCCAGTGATAAACAGCTGCCTCGACAAAGTGTATAGGCGAATAATATTGTTTTCATCTAGAAACTTCTCAAGTGTTTCTCTAACATACACAACTTTCTTGTTCTCTCTGCATATCAGAAAAGAATATAAAGAAATTGAGAGTGATCTAGATAATTTAACATCCAAATGAAACCAGTGTTCATAAAAATCGGCTTCATGGAGGTGTGAAAGGAGAAGTTGAACGTCAAAAGTTGTTGAGGACCATCGTCAGACCCTTCAGTACTGTAAAACTCTACTGAACTTTACCTGGTTTAGAAATCATTGTTGTTTCCTGTGCCTATACGTATTTAAAATTTCAGCTGTCCTTGTGAATAAAGCTATGCAGAGTGAACGCCTAGACAACTGTAAACATGTGCTACTGACTGTTACTTCTTGTTTGGAAATGAGATTTATACAATTGAAAAGAAGCTAAATTATGTGGCGTTTAGTCAATAACAGTTACACAACAGACAAGACTAGTATATTGACTGGTCACTGGAGAGCAACGAATTTTATATTGTCTTCACCTGAGAGATGATCGAATTCTGAAAATCATTTTGCAATGTGGGGACACCAAGCTAGGAGTCTCACCACAAGAGTTCACTTTCATTTGAGTGTTAGTTGGCTGGAGTCAGTCGGCAGCAGGTCCCAAATCAGCACATTAGTTATTTAATATGATACGTAGCTAGACCTTTTAATGCAGTTCGAATCGATCTTGTACTTGTTGTTTAAGGTTTAGGAGTTTGAGTTACTAAGGCAAACTTTTGTGTACACAGAAGAGTTGCAGAACCTAAGGATACATCATAAACAACACTGCCTTCTTAAGTTTCCCTCATATTTTAATCTTTAACCTATTTCATATGCCTAATATTCTATATAGGAGCACAGTAATATATATTTATTTTGTTGATTACATCTTCAAGGATTCCTGTCTTGCTAGACAAAATATCTTTTAGCATTAAAGTTTAGTTGTAAATGCGCGTCATTATCAACTCCGATATCAAGACTGCTAATGTATCCTCACTAAGAGCCTTTGAAGCGTCCATCACTTGCATGATCTTTAAACAGATTTCTAAATCAAATTTCATTTCTTAGTCTTTTGTTAATTATCCGGTTATAGATTCTTACATGCATTGGACGGTCTTATGTTTTTATTACGTAATGTAATTTGTCCTCGAATAAAAAATCCTTCTACGATGATCTATCATTTATGCCACGGATTTCTGAATATACAACTTTGAAAGATATTTCAGTATACGCGAAAATTTCGTGCTGCAAAACGCTTCTTTTTAGCGAAATTCGTGGACAAACTAGTTTGAGCATCTCTATAGTAACCTTTTGGTAGATGGGCAATTAATTTTTACACTCCATAATACTTTTTGCACCTCATAAGCGTTTGTGAAATTTATTGACTTAGCTGCTGTTCATTGTCTATTTACGTTAAAATTTCAGATGTAACGGGTGGTATTTATTACTACTCATGTTGTTAGTAGCGTGACTGCTTATGAATGCGTCATCACGATTACAATAACTGCCGAGAAATATGGACTTTCATATTACTTGTCATCTCAATTCTTCATGTAAGGAATGTGATCACGGTTTCCGTTTAACGTAAGGCAACCGAGTTCATGAAAGATTAGCGGCCTAATAGCCACTCCGTTTCCTTAAAATCACTTTTCTAGGAATTTCATTGCGTTCAACTATACTGGTTCCTATGAATACCTATTAGTCCACATTTTCTGTTAGTTTGTATATATATATATATATATATATATATATATATATATATATATATATATATATATATATAGCATGTATCACTTTATTATATTCACATAATATCAGTTTATCGTTACTTGCTTGGATTAGTAAATAAAAAAAATTCCAGAGCATTTCGATATTTTTCAAATCTATTCTGCATCAGCTCGTCAGCTTCCTTTTATTCATTTCTATTGGGAATGTTGAAAACATCTTAAGATGATAGTTTGCCTTAAAAAACACACCACGTGATCATTTATATTAAATGTTTTCACAAAGCATTCCTACCTGTCTATGCAAAATCTGAGAAAATAGATAGTGAACAGCTGAGTGGAACATCAAACCAAATGACACGGTTACACTTCCTTGAGATTAACTCCTAACGTCCAACATCAAAATACTGTGCACCATGGTGTCGCGTCACTAGTCGCAAAGTTATATCAATAGAGGTCGATCAATGCTAAACCTAAAAGACTAAGTTTGTACATCAGTTACTTATTGGTGACCCATTCATGTACATAGTCCAGTAATACGGAGTGTTGGTCGTGGCGTGAATCACTTTTTGTTTGAGTTTCTGTTTCTAGCACTGAGTGAACCAGGTTCGAATAACCGAGGGAACACTGGTTTCCGCATGGTTTCAGATACAGTCTGGTGATGAATGTCAACAAGCACGAAATATAGATCTAGAACTTCCGATGAACTGAATTCCAACAGCTTACATCAAACTGGTTAGGCCTTACCACAGTATTCTACAGAAAGAACTCAGAAAGGCTCAAAATATTGATCAACTTAAAATGAATATATTCACGCCAATAAGATCAATTGTCAGAAATATCGAATTAAGTCTCTGGTTATTGATTTCTGATAAATGTAATATTCTAACCTGAAAATCAGTGAAGTGAAGACTAAATACCACTACTTCATGTCTAGATTACCGTCAGCTTTTGTCTCTGTTACCATTATTTAAAAAAGGAATCCACACCTGAACGAACTTTTGGTAATACTATTGAAGTTGTTCGAAAAAATCTTGAAAATATGCCAGAAATGTATAACTTAGTCTGAAAGCTATTCCTATAGATAGTTTATTAGGCTCATCTACGAATAAAAAGAAGCAGTTCATAAATATGTCCTTAATCATATCGTTTCTCTTATTTTATCACTTCATTTGTCAAAAGAGTTGGTACATCTTATTATACCACGGTTCATGAATTGACAAGATTGACAGTTACAAGTCTGTACTAAGTTTGTGCATACAAGTACATGCATGCATCGTCCCTTATATGCAGAAGTATCATGTTTGTCATCCATTATGCGATCTACAGTATGATAACCAATTCAGCTGACCACTTACAGGCTTATAAAAGACAGATACATTAAAAAACAACAAATATTTGAAATAACCTAATATTCTGTTTGTTAAACAACTGAATAAGAAAATGGCTAACACAATTGAATAAAAATATAAGCGCAGAAAAGCTGAAATTCGCGCAAGAAATTTCTAAGAATTCACTGACCAGTGGCAATAATTAGTTACATCAGATCTGCTCTTGTTCACTGTTGCATACTTACTTAGCTCACTTTCAGAACTACTAGCGTTTGCCTTTATTTTTGAAATAAATCTATATACCTTTGAGAAGTAGCCTTTCAATTAAATCCTACTGCGTATCATTTGAATAAGACTTTTATTCATTTCTCACATACATGTATATAATTCGGTATATAAATGTAACATGATTAGTACTTCTAAGGTTATAAACATTTAAATTGCATATAACCTGTTCACTCACCTTTTGCAATACGAAGCTCTTATACACTTCAACTAACTAATGTATAGCGACAACAGAAAATACTGCACATGTCATTTTTCATCTAAAACAACTTTAGCATGCAGTGTTTGCATTCTGTCTCATTGATGCGAAGATGTAAACAGTTCTTAGTATGTGGTTATACTGGTCAAATACCAATGCAATGATACAGATCAAATTCTCGATAAACAGCACATTAGATGCTTATATCATAATCATTCGTTATTGAAACACACTTGTATTGCATATTGTAGAGTTACTCAAATGCAGTATTATGATCTTCCCTCACCTAGTTTCAATAACTCATTTCACTTTGGATTGAATCAAGAAGAAGAAGAAGAAGATGTTTAAGAAACCAGATTTTACTTTTTTCAGCACCTAGCGGTGGTTGCCACTTGCTACTTGGAGAAAACTTTTTTCTGCAAAATAACTAAAGTAAATTAACAACCCTACCAATGAATGCATTCGAAAGAGGATTTTACATAGTTGTGAAGTTTAGTATTTTGATCAAATTGGTTTGTTCGGCGCAGTAATAAAGGCTAAGGAGTGGCTTTGACTACTTTCCGGTTTCCACTTCGTTAAACGTATTAATTTGAATAGAATAACAAATTACCACTTATCATTTCCTACATAATAATAACAAATAGTTCTATGCGTGCAAAGTTTTCATGGCACTATAGAAATAAGCATCAATAAATCCGTTCTAAACTTGACAGTAAATTTAAACGAATCTAAAGTCAAAACTGAATCAGTTCTGAAGTGTTCTTAATGACCACTAATTTCCTCTATGAATTAAAACCTACTAGAATGAATATTTGATAACTGAATATAAAAGTGTATGTATCCATATGTTTGACGAATACGGTTTAATCAGGTTGGTTATACTGATAGTGTTAAGTTATTATATAATATTTCTAAGTGCAGCTTAACCCACCTGTCTCATTGGTTTAGAAATTCGACTTTCAACCAGGGGGTAGTTAGATGACACCATCAGCCCTTACACAAAAGGTGTAGCTCATTTCCTGGTACATTAACGTACACTTGGTTATCAGGTGCAAGAAGACAAAGCATAACCTGCGTCCTTGTACTAGTTATTGAATGAAAGCTGATTTTGTGTAATTCTGAAAAATATGCATTTAAACGCTAATTTTATACGTTTAGCCTGTTCGACTTGATTACTGATTGAACATTTCACAAAGGAAGGTGGTAAAGTTATATTTTTGTTCAAGTTATCCTAATAAGCTCATTAGTCGTTCAGTATGAAAATTGTTCATCTGCGATTAGTTCAACTTTAAATGAGCACCTGATCGTTTGTTACTCATCCTACTTTCAGCTGTCTGGAGATGTTTCTTACTGACTTATGTAAATAGTATTCAGCTACTAAAGGTATCCACCAGCATATCAGTGTAGCGTTATCTTGAAGTTTTCTTCATAAGATGATTAGCTGCAAAAAAAGCTGACAGTCCTCAGTTTTAACCTTCGCTCGTCTTCAGGTCAAGATATTTATACATCACTGTCCTTGTAGATAGTATCAAAATTTCAGAAACAAATACAAACAAAGTCCCTGATTTACTTTGTCTCAGTGATAAGCTGTAAGAAGTAGTTACCTTGGCAAATGGAGTTTACTGCTATGTTTAGTTTCAGCAAGTATCCTGTTTATACGACGACCAACATTTTGATCTCTGGGTGAACCTGCTGGTAACACGAGGAAAATGGAAAATCAAGGCTTTAGTGTAAGAATATCATGCCTAATCACAAACTAGTTTTACACATTGAAAACGTTTTGGAGATTAGTACAAGTAGCCTGTGTCCACACAGAGTAATATTCAATTAAATGTCAGTAACACACGTATAATAGAGTAGAGCTTTGCATGAGTTGTTTTGTCAGTATTCATTTACACTCCGTATAGATAAACTACGAAATGAGAGAATCAACTCCCAAATAAGATTACAAATTCGGCTTAATTACTCTGTATTGTAATATTTTGATCACAATCAACTCATTCTTGTCACTATCAGTGATTAGTAATTTTTCATGGCTTTTACCTATTTCTACAGAATATTTTTCATTGTTTCTGTTAAAATGATTTTTTACCCAACTAACAAATTATTACTGTTTCTTCTTCATTCTCAGTTTTTCCCTACTGAAAGTCATTTCACCTAAATTATTTATGATAGATTTTTCTGGAGAAAAAAAATCCCTCTCTGCCTGGCTTTCTGCAGACAAACACACAAAATGTCAGTCCATAGTAGCATTGTTGCCATACGCGATAATGGGGCGGAATAAGTAAATGAAAGTTTCTTTCATTTGATTTCCCCTTTGTTTCATAGTGAAATGTAAGAGACATTCCGTGAAATAAATGTAATAGACCAGTATCCCGTGAAATATATGTTTTCGAATTGAATGTAGTTCATTTACTACTCATGATGGTAAAGGTTTGATAGGCTGAACTATATCTGCTTGCTCTTACAGGCTATCCAATGACGGTATCTATTATCAGTGTTACGTAACTGCACTGAAAAATATACGTAACGATTCACATGCTTGTAAGCTAAATATCAAGTCGTTGTATGCTCACACACAACTAGTCGAATATACGGACACATTTTGCAAAATATGATGTGAGAAAAATTTTATACTTATCAATTTGATTTCATTTTCTTGTTTCTTCGAGTGAGTAAAAAAGAAGAAGCATTTAAAAGCGTTGTGTGTTGTCGTGTTGTCTTGTTTTATGCATATGCAAGGATAGCGAAATGATACGTAAAGACATGTAAAATAATTACTAAGAGAGTAGTATAGTAAGGAAAACTTGATTGAAAGTATGAATAAATTTTTCTGTTTTTCACATGTCAATATATATGTAGAAATAATTATAATCGTATTGCCGAACTACGGTCTACAACACATAACATTCTAGGATAACGCATCGGAAACTGACGGAAGAATGATTCACAGTTTAAAGCTTATACTTCTGCAGCTTTTACCTTAATTTTCTCAAACGAACGAAACTTGCGACATATAATCAGTGGACCATCAATAACGTTTTAGTCATATGATATCTGCAACCTGACCAGTAGTAATCACAACGTAGCACTACTGATTGACCTAATGTGTCTGTAATGAATCGCAAGATGGCATTTTGCACACTACTCCACTCTCTGCATCTTGTGTATCATTTTGGTTCTACGATCTATAGCTCCCCATGGAAACCATTGTTATAGTGTGCGTAAGACTCAGAAAAGCTTACTAAGCTGATACAGTAATGGAACTTCAGCAATTTAATAACAATTGTCTTACATAAATCAGTGATGTCATTTGGTCTTAATATTCATCACATAATATTCATACCCAAGTGTAAATTTTGAAATGATAATGCGGATAACTTTCAAATATCTGTCATCAATCTGTTCAGTGAACTATTCACTCAAGAGAAAGAGTAGAAATTATCGCATCGATACTCCAGAAACTAAATAATTTACATCTTTACGGATATCATGATGTAAGCGAAGACTTGGGTTGACATTAAGCATCTTTTCTGACTGTCGTTTTGGGTCCATCGGTTTCAGTACAACCCTCTATACACACATATAAGTCAACTATTCTCAATTATTTATAACCAGGAGAAGGTACATATATACACTTCAACGGGTATTGTGAAGTACTTTATAATCTCTTGACTCGAGGTAACTATCCTGCTTACTAACTCATCCAAATAATGGATGATATTAATAAGGATATTCAAAGTGGTGATAACAGTAGTTGCATATAATATTTGTCCCAGATTTTCTTAAACAGCTACTGCCAACAAGTAGGAAACACAGGCTCAAGGTTTCCTTCAAGTCGCTTTTAGTTACTTACTTGACACTAATCAAAATCCACTGCATTGGAAATGAACACATTTTGAACTTACCTATGAAGTTTGGTCAGCAAGTTGGGCTGAAAAGTATGATAGTGACTACCCTTAATTTGTCAACAAGTATATGAGATCCAGTCCTACATGAGATTTATTTCCCCTAGAATAGCTCGGCGGCAGCTTCTCTGTCTGAATCACAAGGTTGAATCGGTCTAAATCTTGTAGGGCTACCGGCCCTACTGACACTGCAAAAAGGCTCTGGTCACGAGTGCAAGCAGACATCCAGTCATTGTCCAGGGTTCTCTGGTGGTCAATACCAGCCAAAAAACATAATTATGTGAAGTTAATAACCACGTTTATTGAAATAAAGTGAATGGCCATCTTCACAGCTAAAATTGTCAGGATATTTAAGTGAAATAAAACTTGAAGCTGTTATCTTTGGAGATGATGAAAAACATGGTAAATTTTCTTGCACTAGGAAAATTTCAAAATTTGATTTTATGACCGAAAAAAGATATAAGTAATTTCCTGCCGTTGAATAGACCGGATTGACCAGTTACTACTGCCATATATGCTCGTGTACGGATTCCTAGACTTTACCAGTAATTTTTGTTTGATAGTGATGATGGGCAGTGGCTAGCAGTAGAATCTGGTATTTGTCTTCCATCATATTCGGTTCGGTCAGTGACTGGAAACCTCAAGCAATAACATCAAAGTTATAATTGTTGCACAAACAGTGGCGATGATGACTCAAAGGCCTAACGGCAACGCTCTGACGATGAAAGCAACTGCTTCTGAGGTCAAGTCTTAGTGAGAATATCATCAGTCTTTCATTTTGCTTTTAGACGATACTAGAACATGCTCTGGAGTGTAACTTGAGGGCTCCATTAAAGTTCGAGATAAATTCTTTGTTAGGAGATCCCTTCCATGAATTCTTTGTGTTGGTCTCTTAATTAGATGATAACTTGTTAGAGAGGTGTAGGTAGGTGAACAAGTTTCGAGATTCCATCTACTCTTCAGGTAGCCACAAAAATATACAGATAAACTGTTTTCCATTATTCTTAGTTTTTCATACAAACCAACATTTTATTGATGTTTGGTAGATACCAGAATCGATCCTTTATTTTTCATTGCATCCTATTATTGGTCACAATGGCATCTTTCTCCCTGTAGTTTATTATGCTACGAAACTGTAAGAGGTTATGAGGTGAAAAGACAGCGCCACACAAATAGTAACGATCAGAGCAGAATTCTTCCTAGCACCCACGTTTCACTTGTGTATCTGTGTCAATTTGCGTTTTCTGGATCTAAATTCATGGGAAATTGGAGTATTTGATGAAAGTAATCCAGGAAAATGTTTCAAATTACATTATCGTAATTATGGATAAATACTCTGCCTAATAATTGTTAGAATTTTAGAAAAATAAACTAAAACGCAGAAGTTGAACAGAGCTGATCTGCGATGAGATCAGCCAAACAACACTAAGACCATTATTGCCAATGTAGTTAACAACTTTCCTCTCTTTGCTAATAAGTTCTTTCACCACTTGTTTTCTTTTAAACTTCAGTTATCAGCTTCACTTTTCCTCACTGTCCAATAGCTAAGGCTGCCTACTGTAGTGACTACACATTTACCTAATTCTCCGATGAATTCTGAGTTAATCTGAGGCAGCAGGACATAATTAAGTTACGGGGGAAAATGAGTATAATCATGTTATTTTGAAGTAAGATGTCTGAATTCAGTGAACAGAAAAAACCAGATTTAGGTTTCACACATTTTGACACTCATCGGAGAGACTTATCTAAATACTTGGTAAGAACTATATTCTGTCGAAATTCAAATATGCACGACTCAGTGTTTAATTTTGATACTAATATTACTACATCATTCAGACAGCTTTGTGTCAACTGATTAGACCAATTTTCATTAAAGTCAGTCAATTAATGTAATAACTGATAAAGATCTTATGTTTAACTAGTAATTATGATGGTCAAGTTTAAAGTGTTTAAAATTTTGAATATCTGAATACAATAATATGTATTTGACGCGTATTCAAAGCTTTGATAGCTACTCGATGGAGTATAGTTCTGATAAAAGTTTGCTCAGCGGCACACATTCCATCTGTACACTGTCTAAAAGTATTTCTTATTTTAGTCATCTATGTAATAACAATGGAATTTTTGTGATGTACAAACATGTAAACTATTAACGCCTCTCAAAAAGGTACTTCAGTATGAAAAGGTTTTAATCTAATTATATATTTATTTCTGTGGAATTGTCTATTAGTAAAATGACTTTTTGGCACATAGCTGTAGCTCCAGTGTTCAATAAAGTAAACAGTTATACAACTAATCGTTAAATGCCGGAGTAATGTAATGAAGGTTTAAAAACGATCAAACTATTTTAAAAAAATGATAATGATGCATAGTTGCTAGCAGTGGAATCCAGGACTCGCGTTTCTTCCTGTAAGTAACAACATATTTTATAGAATGTTAAGGAAAAAATATAGTTTGTAAACATTTTCTGGTAACTTGACATTGCCATGAATTTCACAGGTTAACTCATACAAAATGAGATGAAGAAGTAAAACCTATGTACTCTAAAACGAGGAAGGACAGCAGGATCAGATGGACTAGTATGGGAGGTATTTAAGAGCAATGATGAAGGACTATTGGTTAGGTTAACTGAAGTGTTACCTAGTTTGTTTAAGTGAGATATTCTACCCTCTCCCTGGACTCGATCACTGATTGCCCCAGTCTTCAGAAAAGGGGGGAAATCCTCTCATGATAATCACAGGGAAATCAGCCTGACGAACATAGTGTCTAAGATTCTAGGCTCTATTATTATCAGATGTCTGAACAGAAATTGGGATTAATAAACCTTAAAAACCAGTCAGGTTTCAAACCTGGTTGCGAGGTGAGTCAACCAGATATTGACTCTGCCAGATTCTGGAAAACACACGTGCTAACTCCTGACACTGGCTGTATTTCTACACTTGAAGGCCGCATTCGATTCCGTCTGTCAAGAGGTTCTTATGATAGTGTATCCCAATGAGATGGATATGTCGAGTAAGTACATCACTGTATTGAAGGCTCTGTACCCGGAGTTTAGAATGAAGCATTAGATGTCATTATCTATTTTCAGTTAGTCGTATGTGCGGAAGGGCCTATTTTTCATCAAAGTTTGTCTGATGAACATTTTCAGTAAGGTATCGACTGAATGTCATTAGAGGTTGTCTTTCTTTTTATACTGAGTTCTGTTATGTGTCAGTCTTCAATAGATCTTGCCTAGTATTCCTTCACATCATAGTAGAGTGACACTCCATATCAGACTAGTGTTTGCTACATATATTGAGGTTTGAAAGTTATTTAACTGTCTTGCTAAAACTATGAGTAATAGTTTGCCGCCGAAACTTTATCCAGTAAACAAAACTGTATCACCGTATATTAAAGTAAACAAATAAACCTCAAACTCCAATTTTTCCGAATTCTTTTTTACACAAATTTAGTCTTCTCTGTTTCCGTTAAATGAGCAGTGTATACTGTTTTCA